AAATTCCTTCTAAAGCTGAGATGATAGGAAAAACAAATACATGATGACTCTGGCCAGTTACTTCAGTAACACGACTTATAAACCATTTTAAGTCTCTCAGACTTTTAAAATAGTAATTAGGCATGATAATAACAGAATAAAAAAGTAATCATGCTCACTGAGAGGTGATAACAACACAGATTTTTGTACTTAGAATGAAGATTAGGCACTATATTTCATTTTTAAAAACTTACATATAGTTAGCTATCATTTCCTCAGAAGATTTCCCTGGCAAAGTAAAATAACAAATTACTTTGACTTAAGGTTAAGTTCCTTAGGGAAAGAGCTGTTATTTTGTTCTTAACAGATTTTTTTTTTAAGATTATTTATTTATTCATTTATTTATTTATTTATACAAGAACTGGGCTGTAGGCCAAAGGAGCGGGTGGGCGGGGGTAATTCACCAGACAGAGAGTGGAGTAAAACAGATAGACCTACTGAAATACACAGCTGAGAGGAGCAGAGCGCCAGACAGGAGAGGTCTGCTGTGCCATGTGGGTCAGCTCCCTGGCTGGGGATCAAACTCATGCTGTAGTGGTTGGTAATAGCGTGATAGTGCTGAGACTTTAAACCCTGCACCACTAGGGAAGCCCATGACAGATTTTTGACTACCATTTATTGATATTATCGTGTGATTTTATTTTTTTTAAGATATATTTCATTTATACATACAAGAGCTGGGGTATAGGCCAGAGGTGCGGGGGGTGAGAGGATTGACCAGAGACAGAGTGGGGAGCAGAACAGGCAGGCTGACTGAAATACACTGCTGAGCAGTGGGCAAGACTGGAGAGGTTTGCTGTACCACGTGGGTCACCTCCCTGGCTGGGGATCGAACTCAAGTTGCAGTGGCTGCAGATAGCTTCATAGTGCTAAGACTTAATCACTTGCACCACTAGGGAGACCCCATTGTGTGATTTTGAATCCTTCAGTCTTAGATTTGGTGGGTTACATTGATTTTTAAACCACCCTATTTAATAGAACACAATTCAAACATTTTAATTCCTTGAAATGATTTCCTTAGAAATTAGTTGCTGAATTTTCTCCAAGAAAAAATGTGAATTGTGATAATGTAGAAATTATGTTTGTATATACATTTCAAATGAGGTTTTTAAGGAGATTTGTTTAAAGGCTAATATTTCCAAAAATATTAATAGTTATATTGTTAGGGTTTTTTTTTAGTTTTTTCTCTGAAGTAATCTTTTTTTTTTTTTTTTTTTTTGCTGTGTATTAAGTAGCCAAACACATTTGCTGTGTATTAAGTAGCCAAACACATTTCCAAATATTTTACAATATGAACATATAGTCATATAGAGGCTTAGTAACTTTTAAAGAGACAAATATAAATTTTATAGTAAAGTCTCTAAACTTTTATCAAAACCCATGTTCGAAATTACACAATGAGTGTTTCTGTAGAAAGTAAATTATCAATTACTTCCTCTGACAGATTCTACATCCTGTTACAATTCTAGGTTACAGACCTGGCTAAGGGTAGATAGCAAACAGAATAGAAATAAATGGTGCAAACATTTAATACTTTTGTAGATTTCTGCATTCCAGTTTTTTTTTATTTCTTAAGACATCTCCCTTAGAACGTTAGTGGTATGGGAATTTAAACCAAAAAATCAAGAGAAATAATCTAGAAAACCTAAATGAGGGACCAGGAAAAAGAATAACTGTAAGAAAGAAAAAAATCAAAATCAACAAACAACTATAAACCAGACACACACTATGGGGGGCGGGGAAGGGAGGGATTGGGGTCAAAATAAGGGGGTGCAATTTGTATGGGGAATATAAAAATAAAAAGAAAAATAAAAGAATTGGGTCATTAATGGTTACTGTGGCTACTAGGGAACACACTTGAATTTCCAGAACTTTTCTATACGTGCTTGTAACAGGGTCCCCAGGAAAAGGGGAGGTTCCAGGTTCCCTGCCCCACCCAAGGGAGGGTGTGCTGAGCAGGGAGAAGCAGCTGGAGAGAAGACTGGGAAGGGAAGGAAGGAGGATAAGGAGACCTGGAGGAGGCACATGGAGCAGAGAGACACGTAAAGAAGCTGCAGTTGCTTTTTGGTCTTGGACTGGTTGAAAGAGACGTGGGTGAGAGACCCATGGGGAGGTTAACAATGGCAGTGCTGATCTTGATTTTGATTTTACTCTTTTCCTTCCAGACTTGTCTGGCTGTTTCTGACCCTTTTCTATGGGTGCCTACCACAAGGTGCTTTAGATTTGTGGCGGCAGGCTTTCGGGCCTTGGAGGTCCTACTTTGGGCCAACCCTGTGTGGCTGGGCATTTACCCACGAGGGGATGGGTAACTTTGGGTGCTTGATTTGGAAACCCTATTCATCCCCATTCTTCCCCTTTTCTGTATTGCACACTAATTGTCTTCAAGTTCCTTTCCATTGAAGGTCTTATGCACTGGAGTATAGTTTGTCTTGATGCAGGGAATGACAGAACCAATTTAGAGTGGGCAGGTTTGGGGGTTTTGGGGTGTCCCTCTCCCTATCCTGTAACATGCTAAATTCAAAACTAAATTTAAAGAAAGCTTCTTTTTAGGGTCAATGAACAGCAAAGCAAAAGCTACTATCTCTGTCTATTTGTGTGTCTTTCCTTTTAAGTGGTAATATTGGAATATATAAATTGTAACTATATAATTTCTAAATTTGGAAATTAACCCAGAGATTTTTTTAAAAGATTTACTTATTTATGCATATGCATACAAGATCTGGGGCACAGGCCAGAGGTGGGGTGGTGGTGGTGGTGGTGGTGCTAAGAGGATTCCCCAGGGACAAAGTGGGGAACAGAACAGGCAGATGTACTGAAATACACTGCTCAGGGGAGCAGTGGGCGAAACAGGTGTTTCACCATGTGGGTCACCTCTCTGGCTGTGGCTGGCTATAGCATGATAGAGCTGTCTTTAACCCCTGCACCACCAGGGAGGCCCCGACCAATGTAATTTTTAATGACTTTTTGTTTGAAAAATTGCTGTTTTTGTTTTGCTTCTCCAGACTTAAGCCTTTTTTGAGCCAATTATGACCTGCAGCAATGGTAAATTTCATCTTTTTGTGAGCAGAACTGAAACATTTGCTTTTCTGACACTCCCCAAAATGTGAAAACTTTTAGTATTTCTTCTCATGGCAATGCTTACATGCTTAAATTCAATAACTTTGTCTATAATAGACTATTGGAAACATGGCAATATATCATATTTGATACCAGATTGCCTGCAAAAATTCAGACTGAGCCTTCAAAGACAAGATAGCTTTTATGCCTGGTTTTCAGGGTTCCAGGTCTATCAGGAAAGGGTTAAAAAGGTCACCCCTTGGCATACTCAGAAAACTTCAGGACATTATGGGCACCTTGAGGAGAGGAACTTACCAAGACAGTAATTATAGGCAATGTCTGATGGTGAGAAAGGACATTAAGAGCTCAATCTAAGATTCCTTATGAAAAGTTTCAGCAAAACAAATTTTTCAAAGTACATGACTGTATTTTGTTTCTATTGTGCTTATGCAAAAAAAAAAAAAAAAGGCCAGATTTATTGGAACTAGGCTTAGCTTACTTAATAATTTACTGTAATTATTTGGTAGAAGTGCAGTGAAAGTGAAAAAAAAATACTCCAGTAATATCTTTGTGGGCACCAGATTCTATTCCTTAAATTATTTTTTGAGGCTTTTTATTTGTGAACTGGACTGAATCCTGAATTTTTCCAATATCTGGCTTTGATTTTCTAAACTACCATTTTCCAGTTTTTCCTCCAATGTTTTTGGCTTGGATTGATTGAAAACTAAAATTGTGTTTTCCAGAAATTTATGAGCTGCAAAGGGAACTTTTATTAACCTCAGAGAGATCACTGAGATAGTTGTTTCTAACTATTGCTATTTTCCTAAATACTTGATGGCATCACACTGCCAACAGGAAATCACTGCTGTCACTTCACCCCATCTTCACTCTGGCATCTAGAACTTTCAACTGGTTGCCCTCAGAACTCCTGACTGGACTTGGGTTTGTTTTAATCTTTAACCTTTATTCATTTCCTTAGAAATGCCTCATTATGCTTGCCAAAAAATGGATACAGCTCTTTAATTGGATGCTCTCAACTATCTAACACAGTGATGATAGGTAAAAATCACTATAACTGACTGAGACTGAATTAAAACTTTTTGAAAAAAATGTTTGCGCAGAAACCCAACAGTACCAGAAGGGCAACAAGTTAAAGATTGAGATCATAAGAGGGAGAAAGGTAGGCATGATATGACACACCTCTTTAGGTAAAGTACAGGTAAAAGATGTAAGCATTACCCTCACATTGGACAGAAGTTGCAACACTGGAAGAACGCAATATATTGTAAAATTTTCTGGGATTGCCTCACCTACCCCCACCCATCCAGTAGGCAGAACGCAAAACTATCTTCACAGGCTCCATCTGGTATGCAGGTAATCTGCTGCCTGGAGGTAGAGCCAGGCTCTTCACCTCCACTGATGATCAAGGAATTCATAAAGATTCAATAGCAGTACCCAGCCTTTGTGTCCCTGCAGTGTGTTCTTTAGGAAAGGAATTGTTCCTGCATTGCCTTCCTCTAGCATCAGCATTTATCTTTATATTGGCACATCTTAGAACTAGAAGCCCCTCCTGTCAAGAATTTACATTCTTAATGTCAGTGACTCTGTTCTTACCTATATAAAATTCAAACTTGTGTTTATTGGAACAGCTCTCACAGGGTATTAGATGATCTCAGAGATTATCTAATAAACTACTTGTTGAACAATCATTAAGACTTTTATATCCAGTTAGTAATTGTATGATATGTGAATGACATCTGCAATCTTTCTTAAAAAGGCGTGGAAGTGTTTTGGTAGGGAAGACTTCATAGGACAAATGTGAATCTAAAAATAACAGTTTTTCTGATTAAGTAAAGAAGTATCACCCACATTTTTAAAATAATAAAATATATATTTATCCCTTCCATTATCCAGTGATATATATATATATTTTAAACACTTGTTAATATTTAACATTCCTGGTTTTTTGTGTACACATTTAATTTTATTGAAACAAATCAACTTGTACATTTTTAACATTTAAAACTGAGCATCATCTTTCCTTTCCAGTGAAACAGAAAGAAAATTTAAAAATAAACAAGAACAAAATTACAACAGAGAATGTCAATTCCAAAGACAATCCTATGGGTTCTGCTGATTCTCCCATTGAGAGGCAGGGCCAAAGTCATTGAGACAGTTTACTTTTTTAAAAGTATCATCTTAAATCGCAATGGTATCTGTTAAACATCACAATTAAACATGCCAAAGGAGAAGCCATGTTGTCAAAATGCCCACTTACCCACCCAGATATCTCAAAACAACCCTTTGCTGACCTTCTATAATCCCATTTTTTTAAGTTTTTTTTTTTGAAACTAGACTGATAACGTGTTGGTAAATGCTAACTGTCCATATTCACATATAAGCAATGTAATCAATATACAGACAAAGGAGGGGAAAGCATAGCATCATCCGGCTACCAAAAGTTTGGGAGGATTTTCTTTTTTTCCCCACAGAGAATGGTGTTGCTGATTCCATAAAGTTTTTGCTGAGACAGGAAGGGATAAAAATGAATTGAGAACAGATACAAGTAGAGATTATTTCCCACTGTATTCTGCACCCCCCCCCCACCCCAATTGAGAACCATGGTATAAAGGAGTGAAAAGAGACTTCAAAAACAGGGCAACTGAGCACAATGAGGGGGGTGAGGGGGAGAGAATGTAACTTATGAATTAAAAAAGGTTGGAATCTATGTGTTCCATTAGTCATCTTCTCCTTCCTCCCCCTCATTGTCTTCTTCATCCTCATCCCTTTCTTCATCAGTATCTTCCAATCCTTCCTCATCATCTTCTCCTTCTTCATCCATATCAGGAACCAAGTAGTACGGTAATGGATTTGGCCAAATATCATCTTTGATAATTTCTCCTAACTCATCTGCACCTGCATCAGAATGGTCAGTAAACCAAGTAAAGAAGCTCTCTGGTTCCTCATGCTGTCTCTTTCTGCTGGCTTTATTCTGCATTTGACTTGAACGTTTCGTCAAATCTTTTCCAGATTTCCACTTGATTTCACTAGACTTTGAACATGGATCACCACTGTCATTCAGATAAAATTCTTTGAAGAGGACTTTATTTTTGAAGTAAGGATTTTCATCAAAATAAAAATCTACTCTGTAACCTGACTTAATATCTTCAAATTCTGTCACTTCAACTCTGGCTAAATAATACAGCACCTCTTCATCCTCTTCTCCAAGCAGTGCAGATACTTGTGGATGGTTGACAAATGTTGTTACCCAAAAATTTGGGATTCTGGTGACCAATTCTGACCTCTTCTTTAAAAATGGCTGGCGGAGTTTGTTATATTTCTGTTCTATTTTCAAAATCTCCTCACTAGCTTGTTCATTAAGTCTGTCTATTTCATTTTGTACTTCATCGATAATATGCTCAATTGCTTCTTGCTGCTCTTTTTCTGTGGTCTTGCCAGTACCCTCATGGTTGGAACTGAGCTCCTTTTTACTGAGTTTGGCTGATGGTGCCCACATGGTGCTGCTAGGAGGTCAGAGTGGGAGCAGGGAGGAGAGAAGAGAAGGCAAAGGTGGCAGATAGCAGCTTTTGCTTACCCCACATAGCTGGTATTCCCTCTCCCTCCACCCCACACACTGTCCAAGAGGCCTGGTGACAAGGAAGGGGCTGAGTGGTATGCTTACTGAGGGCAGGCAACAGGCAGGTGTGCTGGCAGGGTCTGCAGGCTGGAGGTGGTTGACAGGTTGACAAGTTGGTTGACAGGCTGGCTGGCAGGCAGGTTGGTAGCAGCTAACAGGCAAAGGTGGGGGGGGGGCAGGCAGGTAGGTGATTTGGTTGGCAGCTGAGTGGCCTCACTCACTCTCTGGGCTGGTGGGGCCCCTCCCTCCCTCACACTGGGCTGTCTGGCAGGCACCCTCACTCATGCTGGGCTGGTTGACTGGTACCTCCAATCACGCTAGAGGTCTGGCTGCTAGCGACTGCAGGCTGGACGGCGGGCAGGCAGGTGGGCAAGCGAGCAGGCAGGTAGGCTGGCAGGCAGGCAGGTGTATAAGCAGGCAGGATGGTGTCCTCACACACGAGCTTGGGCTGTTGGGACCCCTTTCTCCCTCCCCCTGGTTAGGCTAGCAGGCACCCTAACTCTGGCTGCCTCCCTCAGGGATCTACCAGCAGGCAGGCAGGCGATGCCCTCACTCACGCTCCCTGGGCTGGTGGGGCCCCTCCCCACCCTCCCGCTCGACTGGCAGGCGGGCTCCCTCCCTCCCGCCCGCGGGGCGAGCTGGCTGTGCCCTCACTCACGCTGGCGGTCTGGCCGCTCGCGACGACCGGCAGGCGGGCTCCCTCACCCTCCCCTCCGGCCGGGATGGCGGGCTCCCTAGCTCTCGAGCGCTCGCCGAGCTGGCGGGCTCTCTCCCTCACGCCGGGCGGGCAGGCGGGCTCTCTCCCTCACGCTCGCGGGGCTGCCCGCGCCCCCGCCCCGTGCCCGCTCGCCCGTTGGGCGGGCTCCCTCCTTCCCGCCCGCTCGCCCGTTGGGCGGGCTCCCTCCTTCCCACCCGCTCGCCCGGCGGGCGGGCTCCCTCCCTCACGCGGGCGGGCCGGCGGGCTCCCTCATCAACTCACGCCGGGCGGGCGGGCGGGCGGCCGGCTCCTTCGCTCGGGCGCTGCGCTCGCGGACCGGCGCTCTAGCTCGCGGCTGGGCGCTCTAGCTCGCGGCTCGGCGCTCGAACTCGCTGCTCGGCGCTCCAACTCGCTGCCGGCGCTCTAGCTGGCCGCTGGGCGCTCCAGCTCGCTGCTCCGGCGCTCTAGCCGCCCGCTCCGCGCCCCAGCCCCAACTCGCTGCTCGTCGCCCCGCCGCCCCGCCGCCTCGCCCTCCGCCCCGGCGCCTCGCCGCCGCCTGCCTGCGTCTTTCGATGTATATATTATTTTTGGTTAAAAATAGTTCTTTTTAAGTAGCGTGAAACAGATTGCGTAGATCCTTTCTAAATCTTGATCGTTTGCTCTTTATTTTATTTTTTTAATTACATTTTTTGGGAAGACACCTAGGTTTCTAGCACTGTATGTGATTCAGAGGAGCAGGGTCACAACTCCTGGGGTGTATGTCACCCCACCCCACTCCAGCCCACCCCACCCCAAGGCACCCAGGGTCCTCCACCTTGGGCCTTTGGGCCCCTCGCCCACGTAGCTTCCCTCCCCGCCCCCCACTTCCCTTCTGGTAGCCCCTAGTCCATATTCAGATTTCAAGGGATTGTGTTGGTTTAGTTTTGTCTGTTCCTTTGTTTTGTTTCTCCCTGTATAAGTCACACCATCTGGTATTTGTCTTTCTCCCTCTGACTTATTTTCTTAGCATATGCCATTAAATAGTCTTTTAGAGCTGCAGAGTGTTTCATTGCATAAGCATTTCATAATTTATTTAGCCATTCTCTTTTTATTGGTCATTTAGGCTCATTTCAATTTCATGCGACACAAGAAATAATGCTGTGATGAACATATGCATACAACATTTTTATGCACTTCTCTGATTATTTTTTAGGATCAATTTCATAAATTGGGGCAACCATGTCAGAAAATATCCAATATTGTTAAAGTATTACTGGGAAAAGGATGTCCTAAAGCTAATTCCATACAGGCTTTGTGGACTCCACCCCCACCCCAGGCCAAAGCCAAAGACACTGGGAACTCCAAATCCCATCACCACCGAAGGGAAGGTGGCTGGAACCTGAGGGTGGGGTTAAGTAGCCAGGTGTTGTATAAAGGCAGACACGTGGGCTTTAGAGGGGTTCCCCCATTTTGGCTCCCCACCAGCTCGCAGCATCCGGCCAGCTCTGAGAGTGCCTTTGGGATTCCACCTCGGCGGATCGGGTAGGATGCATTAAAGACTTTATTTCCCTATTTTCACCCTGAGTTGTACATTTCCTTAATTCCCTTTCCCTTGTAAATAAACCTTTTATTAACCTTTTGTGTGTGTCTGTAGTGGAGTATTAATAAGTCCCTTTTAAGCGCGCGGGTGAGGACCCACAGCCAGACAACCTGTTTTATTTTATATCGGGGTTGCCCTATAACAAAAGTACTTTAAAATACTTTCACCAAAATATGCTTAAGTAAGTATAAACCGCTGCGCCACCGGGGAGGCCCAATAAATCTGTTTTTAAAAAAGTAAAAACTAAATATGTAGAACACACCATTTGCAAATTAGTGAAATCTGCATACCAGTAGAAAATCAGTATCAGTAATTGTTTTGCCATGACATTAATTTAAAAAGTAATGCCACTGAGTTAGAAAATCCTGCATTCAAAATACAGAGAATGATGTACAAATGGCCAATTAGCACAGGAGACAGTGAACATCAATAATGATCAGATAAATGCAAATAGGGGCCTCCCTGGTGGTACAAGGGGTTAAGCAACAACCCTATGAAGCAATCAGCAGCCACTGCAGCACAAGTTTGATCTCTGCCCAGGGAGCTAACCCACTTGGCACAGCAGACCTCTCCTGTCTTGCCCACTGCTCCCCTCAGCAGTGTATTTCAGTCAGTCCGCCTGTTCTGCTCCCCACTCTGTCTCTGGTGAAACCTCTCATCTGCCCCCCACCCCTGCACCTCTGCCTTGCACCCCAGCTCTTATATGCATAAATAAATAAATCTTTAAAAAAAGACAAACGCAGATAAAAATTACTGAGATATTACCGCATATCCATTAGGACAGTACTTTTTAAAAACGCGTTGGTGAAGTTGTAGAGAAATTGTAACTCTTATGCATTGTTGTGATTGTAAAATGGACAATTGTTATGCAAAACAGCACAGATTAAAGATCAAACTACTATATGATCCAGCAATGCCACTTCTGTGTATATAACCAAAAGAATTAAAAGTAGAGTTTTGAAGAAATATTTGCATTTCCATGTTCATAGTGGCACTATTTATTATAACCAGGAGGTGGAGGCAACCCAAAAGTCCATCAACAGATAAATGGGATAAACAAATGTCATATATTGGGCATCCCTGGTGGCCTAGGTGTTAAGTCTCAGCGCTATGTCACTTCAGCCTGTGTTCGATCCCCCGCCAGGGAGCTAACCCACATATGGTACAGCAGACTTCTCTTGTCTCACCCACTGCTCCCCTCAGCAGTGTATTTCAGTAGAGCCACCTGTTCTGCTCCCCACTCTGTCTCTGGTGAATCCTCTTATACCACCCCCACCTCTGGCCTGTGCCCCAGTTCTTCAACGTAAAATTTTAAAAAATGTGGTATATACATACAATGGAATGTCATTCTGCCTTAAAAAGGAAGTTCTGTTACATGCTACAATGTAAATCAGCTATGAGGGTATTATGCTAAGTGAAATTAACCAGTCACGAAAGGACAAATACTGTATGATTCTACTTATATGAGATACCTAGAGTAGTTGATTCATAGAGACAGTAGAATGTTGGCAATCAGAGAGTGGTGGGGAGAGAGTAAAGGGGAGTAGTTTAACAAGTATGTAATGCTACAGATTTGAAAATGAAAAAGTTCTGGATATCTGTTGCATAACAATGGGTAGCCAGAATTGTTTGGGACAGTTCTTCCCACTGGAAACAGAAGAAAGACTTTATATAAAGAAAGTTTGGAGGCAAACAAATTGATATTTTCTATCTTATAAATTTTTGATATCTATAGCCTAGAACTTAATTGCTGTGATTGGTTGTCCTTAGCATTTTTTTTTTAAGATTTATTTATTCATGCATACAAGAGCTGGGGCCTAGGCCAGAGATTCAGGAGGGTGAGAAGATTCACCAGAGACACAGTAGGAAACAGAACAGGTAGAATGACTGAAATACACTGCTGAGCAGAGCAGCGGGCGAGCAGGAGAGGTCTGCTGCGCCATGTGGGTTTCTCTCTGGCCAGGATCGAACTCATGCTGCAGAGCCTGCGGATTGCTTCACAGTGCTGTGCTTAACCCCTTGCGCCACCAGGGAGGCCCTGTCCTTAGCATTTTGACTTCCTAACCTTGAGGAATTTATAAGCTCACATTTTGGTTTGCTTCGGAAGAGAAGGCTAGGCTTCCCCAAGATGTTCAGAACAGTGAGCTGTGTGCAGAGAGGGCAGTGAGTTGTTAGCAGTGTGCAGAGAGCAATGTGCAGTGTGCTGTGAGTTGTGTGCAGTGCAAGTGAGCTGTGTGCAGTGCACAGTGAGTTTGTACAGTGCAAGTGAGTAGTATGCATTGTGCAGTGATCTATGTGGGGTGTGCAGTGCACCGTTAATTGTGTGCAGTGCACAGTGAATTGTGTGCAGAGATCTGTTTGCAGTGCAGAGTGACCTATCGGTGCTCTGTGAGCTATGTGCAGTGCTGTGTGCAGTGGTTATTTGATGGTCATGCTAAAGTGTGACCGTCATTTGGTGGTCATGCTAATGTCTCTTGTATTTTATTCATATTATGTTTGCTGGAACAATTCGCACATCTTAAAGTCATGATGGCTTTTCATGAGCAACATGCTTCACAGGTTCTCATCTGTTTAAAGGTACTATCAAAAAATAAAAAATAAAGGTATTTTCTTAGCTTCTTTTCTCTTTCAACTACATTGGACATGGTGCCTGTCCCCCCCCCCACCTCTGGCATTTTTTTAATCATTAGTTTTGAAGGTTCATGAATTCCATTATTTTATTTATTTTAAAATTTATTTTTATGTATTTATGCATATAAGAACTGGCGTGCAGGCCAGAGTTACAGGTGTGAGAGGATTCACCGGAGACAGAGTGGGGAGTGGAACAGGTGGATCTACTGAAATACACTGCTGAGAGCAGCAGGTGAGACAGGAGGGTTAGCTCCCTGGCTGGGGATTGAACTCATGCCTCAATGGCTGGGGATAGCTTGATAGTGCTGAGACTTTAACCCCTGTGTCACCAGGGAGGCCCCAAGTTCCATTATTTTATATAGTTCAAGCAGAGAGAAGATAATTGAGTTCCTTCCTATAAAGTCCAGAAAAATATGCATTTCTTTTGTTTTCTTTCTTTTTTGGTCCCTGTCTTCACTGTGGTGAGCAGGAATCGTTTGTGGAAGATCCCCCTGTGCTCACACACTCTGACATGCAGGTGGTGAATTGTTTAGCATTTGTCATGTAGCCTGACCTGCACCAA